GGAGCTCCTCTGCATCAGCATCTCCTTAGCGCCGGCGAGCTGCCCCATGAGCTCCGCAATTCGGGCCCTATACTCCCGGGCCCGGCCAACGGCCTCTGCCTCCAGCTCGCCCAGCTGGCAGCACAGCCGCTCCTCCGCCTCCTCCGCCACCGTCAGCCGCTCCAGGGCCCTCCTAAGCTCGCCCCTCATCCTCTCCTCCCTCGCCAGGCTGTCCCTCAGCTCCCTCTCCAAATCCTCGTTCCTCCGCCGCAGCGCTTCCTCGCCGCCCTTCATCTGCGCCGCCGCCTCGCGGGAGAACGGAATTGCGATGGTTGGGGCCATCGGAAAAATTGGAGCAAAAAGATGTATTGGGAAAAATTAGGTATTGATAAGAAATGTGTCTGTGAATGCGAGGTGTTTGTTGAAAGTGCCGGATGAGTGTGCGAGGTTTTATAGGCAGGGAAATAGGACTGTCCAGGTTCAATGTATTTTGCTCTCCTGCTTTTCTGAGCAAACTGTGCTTGATATTTTTATTTTTTATTTAATTTATTTATTGATTTTGATTTTTTGATGTTGCGTTTTGGGTTTTAGCTTTTACCTGCATAATCCCAAGTTAGACTTTTGCAACTGTCTTTGTTTTAAATAATTGAATTAGGTGAATTGGCAATTTTGTTAGTTTTATCTCAATTTTTATTTATTTTTAATGAAACAACCTTTGTCAGTTGACTAGTCATTTTTTTTTTAAATGAATATTAATGCCATTAAATATGATACATTTTTTTTTTTGGGTTAAAGCATGACATTTGAAGTCGAAACAAATTGGACTTTTGATGGAACGTTATACAACATAATATATCTATTAAAGAATTATGATTGTTCAACTATTAGATATGTCAAAAGTTTAATTAATTTATGTCTATGTGAAAGGCCGATTGTTAAAAACTTAATACAACAGTATGCACCTTATCTGAGTTTTGAGAATCCTGATTGTCCCCAATTCCGCTGATTACGGCACGACTACATTTAAACAATCAGACGACCTGCCCATGAGGTCGGACGTTGTGGACAACCAGACACCTCGGAGCTCATGGCCGAGCTGGCATATGCTACCCCTGCTACAACCGAGCTCTCTGAATACGCGGTTCACCAAGACAGGTAGGAAGAGACCTAGTTGAACCCGGCTCAACCTCAACCTATTATAATCAGTCCTTTATACCACATCATCT